CAAGATCCTTTTTGATCCTGAGCATGTCTTCTGGGGTGTTGGCTATTTCTGCCAGCGTAATGTCATTTGCAAATTTGATGAGTCCCTCTTCTATTCCCTCATCTAAGTCATTTATGAAGATGTTGAAGAGTACTGGGCCTAAAACCACAATGAGTATACACAAGAGAGGAAGGGTATAGTATTAAGATCTTCTCTGCCTTATTCTGAGGCAGAAAAATTGCACAGAAAGCTGTTGCCTGAAAACCCACATCCCAAGTTTATTTCTGGGTAGTGAAAAAATAATGGTGGAACATTTCATCATTTTCATCCATCTATTTTCTCATTCACGTTCCTACTTTTCTTTGCAAGGTGCTTTAATTTATACAAAAATATACAGCAAGTTGTTCAAATTCTTTTTCAGTTATTTTGCAGGGATATTTATTATACTATAGAAAATAATACAGAGATTAAAAGGTGCCACCGAAATGAATGGTCACAGATGCTGCCAATTTATTTATACAAAATGAAGCTGCATATTTGGAACACAAAAACCAAGAAGACATGTTTCTAATATTTATACAAAAACCATGTCTATTGTCGATAATTGCAATGCCCATTCAGGAAATTTATATTAAAATGAATAGCACACAATGGGAAATGTTTCGTTTTAAAAAGAACATTGGGAAAATGTTTGTGAAAACATTGCACTGATACATTGAAAACCGTACATATTTAATAACTGAGTATAAAGTATAAAAAAATCCTTATGTCTTAGAATACTACAACAAATGAAAATATGTTTTTAATATAGTAACACCTAGGCAATGTTGGAAAGTACCTATGTTAGAAGGATGGCTAATAAAAATGCTAACATATTTAAGTACAAGGGAACAATTAGTATCTTTAGTGCTTGCAAGTCTTCAGCCAGCAATTTAATTCATTTTTATTTTTAGTTGACCAAACATTTTTTATTAAAGCATTGCATGTGGGGTCTACTGATAGAGTAACTTTTTTAATTAAAGAAAAGACATTATCTATGTTTATTGCTGACTAGAAGACTCTTACGGACTTTTTGTATAAAAATGGGGGGGGGGGAAGTGATATGGTTCTGATAATTAGACAGGAATATGATGTTTATGCTAGACTTTATTTTCTTGTTTGAAAGTTTTAATAAAAATACACACAGAGAGACAGTATATCTATCTATCATCTATCTATCTATCTATCATCTATCTATCTATCTATCTATCTATCATCTCTCTCTCATCTATCTATCTATCTATCTA